AATGGAATACTACTCAGCCATAAAAAAGAATGATATAATGCCATTTGCAGCAACATGGATGCAACTAGAGATGATCATAATAAGTGAAGTCAGAAAGAGAAAGACAAATACCATATGATATCACTTACATGTGGAATCTAAAATATGACACAAATGAACCTACCTACAAAACAGACACAGAATCACGGACAAACAACAAGGTCCTACTCTAATAGCACAGGGAACTATATTCAATATCCTATGATAAACCATAATGGAAAAGAATATTTAAAAAGAATGTATATATACGTATAACTGAATCATTCTGCTGTACAGCAGACGTTAACACAACATTGGAAATCAGCAGTTTCTTTATTGAAGTATAGTTATCTGCAATATATGTGATTAAACTTCAGAAACTAAAATCTATACGGCTCATGTAAATGTGTACCAACTGGATGTTAATTACATGCCCAACTGACCCTTGAACAATGCAGGGGTTGGGGGTTCCAACCCTCCAAGCAGTCGAAAATCCAAATGTAACTTATATTTGGCCCTCCTTAAACATGGTTGCTCTGCACCTGCGAATTCAACTAATCACAGGTTGTTAGTACTGTTGTTAGGTGTTTACTGAAAAAAGTTCGTGTCTAACTGGATTTGTGCAGTTCAGACCCATGCTGTTCAAGGGTCAACTGTACTTACAATTTGTGTTCTTCAAGGACCAATTAAATATTTTATATTTTCACTAACACGATTTCAAAAATTCCACACTGAAAGCAGCCAAGACTTATCCTACTTTACAAAACCGCAAGGTAGCAAATTAAAAACTAACTTAAAAAAATTTATGAAGACTTGCCTTGAGGCTTACAACGATAAAACCATACTGATATGTCAAACTCAAAGCACATACTACTTGAGCTGAAATGCCGCCTATGCCTGAACCACTTTGTTGAAAGTGGTAAGAAGGTTTACTGATCTCCCGGCTCCCAGCCACGTCAACAACGGAAATCATACTTTACTTGTTATCTTACCTGTCAAAGGAAGCTAAAGATCTCACTGGGTGGAGAAAAAAATGTACTTCTTTAAATAACCAATATCCTTGCCCCTCAGGCTATTGTCCTTCTTATATAAGCAGACATATAAGCTAAAAGACACCTTTTCAAGCCTGAGGCCTTTTCAAGCCTTTTCAAGCCTGCATTGCGGTGGGAGCTGGGAGAGGAAAGAGATTAGAGAAGGAGTCATCTCCTTCTGGAATGCTACCCAGCCTCGGCTAAACACTGGAATACACCAGGGGCGCCTTTCAAGTTCCCAGAGCCCAGGTTGCACGAAGAACAATTAAATTAGGCTATGTGGAACAGGACGCAGGCATCCGTAATTTTTAAAAGTGTCTCCACCACTCCTTGAGTGAAACCATTGTGCAGCCAGGTGAAGAACCACCATACTAACAACTACTCTTTAGATAATTTTCAGGCCCCTTACATTCTCCTTTAGAAAGCAAAGAAAGCGCTGAGATTAAATTGATAAACAGCTGAGAGATGAAAGGGCTATATAAGCAGTAGCCGCTTAGGAGGAAAAATGCTTCCGAAACAACTTTGATCTTTTAGTCTTCAATAAAATAACCAAATTGGGATCTCTGTGGTTTTACCAGGATGTTAGTGTCCTACAGAAGATTAAGCCAAGGAGCCCTTCAAATGAGCTCTGTCAAATGGGTCTCAAACTGGCTGGCAACTGACAGCCACAAAGAAACCCTCTCAGGTTTCAACTAGGGATGGATGGAGAGTTAACTGACAGAAACAGGAGGTCACTCCTGAGTTTGGCTTTATTTAACATCTTTAACTATCTTTGGGGGAAAAGCCATCAATTTCCATTTACTGAGAATGCCACACATTACATTCTCAAGCTATAAGGGGAAAGAAAAACTTGCATAGCTTCTCCTGCAGGTCTCCTGCACCAGACAGGCCAACATTACTCACTCTGCTTAAGGTACAAAGGAAATCTGGTCTCAACCAGTGTAAGTGTGTCCAGTCATCCAAAAGGTGAATTCACAAACAGAAACCTGTAAAACCATAAGGCTGCAAGGTCCCGCCTGTAAGACTGAATAGTTGTTGAGCACTGGGCCGTGATGCTAGATCAGGGTTGAATTCCCAGCTTCTGCACTGCTTGATCCTGGGCAAGTTAACCTCACAGAGCCTCTGATTCCCAAAACATAAAATGGACCCAATGACATCACCATCTTGGAGGCTCGTGAGGACTAAATTAACTGAGCTGAAGTATGTAAAACACCTCATGCAATGCCCTGCGAACGGTGGATGCACATGAAATAGCAGTGATTCTTGTTATTTCTGCAGGCAAGGCCAAGGCATTTTGAGAGAAATTTTCCTAAATGAGGTTTGTGTTCTGATATGTTTTATTAATTATGATCAAGTCCCTACTACGTGCAGGGAATCCAACAGAAGTCCCTGCCTGCCTGGAGCCTCTGAACTTATTAGAGACACAAATAAGATTCTACACAATTTCAATATAATATAACCTTTCAGGGAGAGAATACAGGAGGAGCACCGAGGCCAAGATCAGATGCCAGAAAAAGCTTGCTGGAGAAGTGAAATTAAGGCAGAAAACTGGAATGTGTCTAGGTGTTGGTGACACAGAGAGCAGGCCTGGACAAGTTGGCAGAGAAGGGTATTTTAGGGAAGAGTACATACAAAGGGTCAGCTGATGAAAACAGGAGGAGAGAGGACTAGGGGAAGAAGTGAATGGGGGGATAAAGAAAGGTGGAGCAGGGACCTAAAAGGAAGTCTGATCGGGGAGGACTTCCTTCAGCCATGATCAGGGTTTGAGTTTCAGAAGGGGACAGTGGAGAGCCAGTTGAGTATTTGGGGCATTTTGGAATTAAGGAAGAATTACAAGGGCTAGAGCCCCAGTGTGGTAAACAGAGCTGGAGGCTGGCAAGTTGTAGGCAGGAAGCTCAGTTTGGGAAGATAAGAGGATCCCGCTAGGGGGCTGAGAATGAGGATGAGAAGAACAGACTCAAGAGAGGGAATCCAGGGAACTAGTTTCACAGGGACAGTATAGTTTATCTAGGGACAGTATAGTGGGTGTTTTTACAAAACCTTCAGTACTATGAAAGGCCTGGGGTTGCTACTCCTATTTTATAGGTAGGCGAGTTTAGAGACAATGGGAATAAGCCAGCGTAAAAGTTTTAATCTCTTATCTCTAGGTTTACATGTTCAAAATTGGGACAATGTTCAGGAGGTGGTATGTTGTAACTTCTTTTTTTGCAGTAGAAAAAAAATGAAGAAACATTACTACTGGCTTGAAATGCAGACACAGGGTGTCATCATTCTCATCCACATATCCTCATATAAGTGAAACATGTTTATGAAGATGCAGGTGAATTAGAAACATAATAGAGGTGACAGAGGAGTCCCAAGCTGGAAGATGAATTTTTCAATTTGTTAATTTCTCACTCTTTGTCCGACTAAAATGTTCTTTTGTTATCAAAACAAAATGAATTTCTTCAGCTAAATTCTTTCTGTGAAAATCTTTGTGTTTTTCTTTTATCACTCAGCCTGGCCCTCTGAATTCAGATGAGGAGCAAGACCCAGAAAGTTAATTAGCACCAGGTTAACATTTACTGTAAAGAATCATTTAGCGTTTTCGGGCCGAGCACACTTTCCATTAAATTTTCACGAGAAATAAAAAAGACAGACCATCAACGTATGTTGTGCAAAACAAAGTGTTGGTCATCTAGATCTTAAATTGCTTGCAGCATTCAAGACTGGCCCTTGATAAGAATAATTTGTAATTAAAAAAATGAGTCATTTAACATCCTGCTTGCAAAAACTTTCAGGAAAATCGTCACTTTTGACTACTTGGACTTCTCTCCATTTCTGGCCACGATCACAATCTCTTAGTTTCACAAGGACCTGAGAATGCTCAGTATCTGTATCTCTGTGGCTACCCTAGTTCTTAAATTTAAAATCTGCTAGTGCAGAAAAACTGCTGGAATATCTCCTCTCTACAAGAATCTGTTACTGTGATTTGAAATGTGGAGTTAAAATGTTATGTCATTGCTCACTAGCCTTCAGAGGGCTGTTCTACGATCGCTTCCAATTACTTAAACCATTTCTGCAACAATCGGCCTCAGTTTTTAAACGTTAGAACCACTTGGCTTTTGCTTCAGGAAAGCTGTATTAAGAGTGCTGCTTCAGACTCAGTTTAATTTTTGTTTTTATGGTCAAGTTGCCATACAAACTGGAAGCAAAAGGGTACAGACTTCAAGACTTCTCAAATGGCTACTCTTATTAAAGATGTGACGGTAAAAGAACAAGCTGTGCTCATGGAAGAGGAACTTCCCAGTCATGATCAGAAACTGTTCCCAAGCCATAAAAGAGAACAAAATAATGCCATTTGCAGCAACATGGATGGACCTAGAGATTGTCATACTGAGTGATGTAAGTCAGACAGAGAAAGACAAATATCATATGATACTGCTTATATGTGGAATCCAAAAATAAAAAAAGGGTACAAATGAACTTATTTACAAAACAGAGTCACAGATGTAGAAAACAAACTTATGGTTACCGGGGGGGAAAGCGGGGGAGGGATAAATTGCGAGATTGGGATTGACATATACACACTACTATATATAAAACAGATAACTAATAAGAACCTACTGTATAGCACAGAGAACTCTACACAATACTCTGTAATGACCTATACGGGGAAAGAATCTAAAAAAGAAGTAGATATATGTATATGTATAACTGATTCACTTTGCTGTATACCTGAAACTAACACAACACTGTAGATCAACTATATTCCAATTAAAAAACAAAACAAAACAAAAAACCCCAGAAAATCTTCCCAAATGTTGACCAGGTAAATGACGAATGCAAAAACGCTTGCCCACCCCCAAAACCAACAGCAGAATTAAGGAACAGGTTACTAAATGATATTATTATTCCTTGTTGGCACAGCACGGTGAAATATTTACCTTCGTTCCATAACTTTCCACTTACCAACTTAAATGTCAATGTTTTTAAAGCTTTGGGATCATCTACAATCTTCTGTAAATTAGCAGCCACTGTAAAATACAAACATGGAGAAAAAGCGTCCAAATTATTTCCAATAACTGGATTTTCACATCAATGATTCAGAAAATCTGACTAACGATGCAATGACCTGCAAAATCATCTCTTTCACAGACATTACAAAGTCCATACAAATGACCAAACTACTCTCATAAAGACGTTTTCTACCACAACCTACATCTTCAGCACATCTGAATTAATCACTATACACTGACCCCACGTTTTCTACAATAAAATGAAAAATTACTTTCTAGTGGAAAGTAGAAATGATAGTAGCCCCCCACTGTTTCCACCACCTGGTTTTTCTCACCACTCATTATTAAGAGATCTATTAGCCAGGAGAGGGCAGTACAAAACAGAGGAGGGGTATCGCAATGACCCATTTCTCTGGAAATAATAGGTCAGCATTTTGAACTCCTGTCCCTATAAATTCACTCAATTCTCTGCACCCATTTTTATCAAAGCAACAAAACACAGTGGATAACCTCTGCGACTCAGGCATGTGCTTTAGTGCTTTCAGAGCACGATGATCTGTCAAAGCAGTGAAGTAACACCTTGAGCAACACAGGAATTGGGCGAACAGGGTCAAGCACTAGAGGCTGTCCGTTTGGAGCTCAACAGTGCAGGTGTGTTTTTAGTATTGGCCAGATTCATCAGAGACCCCATCCTGCTCTCTGTGGTGCCATGACGTATTTGATGCTCTCATAGAGAAGTCAGCCTTTCTTGCTTTGGGTACTGTTTATGATCAGAATCCTCAACAGGTGATGCCAATGGAAATTTAACACCTTCCTCTTTCCACGACCAAACCTGAACGTCAGGTAAGTACCATTGGTCAAAGAAAGCGAAGTTACTACTGAAGAAATTAGGAGAGAGGTCCTCTTCATCATTTTTATTTTTCATGAGGAAAACCCCCTGCTGCTTCGGTAATTAGGCATCTGAAAAGTTATCTGAATATTTTAAGGAAAAAAAAAACAATTTAGGAGAAAATAGTAAACATATAAATATTTTGAGAGAAGTGTTTCAAGTAGAAAGTTTGTAAGTAGAAAGAAATCTGTGCAAATTTTATTTTTCTCTAAGGTTGACTGAAAACAACCTAGACACAAGAATTTCTCGGCAGATTAGTTTCATTTAATCCATCTGCTGTGGAGGGAAAAAAATTATATATTCAATATGGCCTGTTTCTCTTTTTTTTTAATTTTTAAAATTTATTTATTTTATTTTTGGCTGCGTTGGGTCTGTTTGCTGCATGGGCTTTTCTCTAGTTGCAGCGAGCGGGGGCTACTCTTCACTGCAGCGCGCGGGCTTCTCGTCGCGGTGTCTTCTCTTGTTGCAGGGCACGGGCTCTAGGCCCGTGGGCTTCAGTAGTTGTGGCACACGGGCTTAGTTCCTCTGCAACAATGTGGGATCTTCCCAGACCAGGGCTCAAACCCGTGTCCCCTGCATTGGCAGGCAGACTCTTAGCCACTGTGCCACCAGGGAAGCCCTGGCCTGTTTCTCTTCATAAACCACAATTACAAGCACCATTTTATCTTCATCTGTTGCCCTCTTAATACTTCCAATCTGAGTAACAAAGTTTCATTTTTGTTAACACCCATCTCCCCCACTCATCTTTTTCTCTCTCTCGTTTCTGCCCACGCAGCAAACTTACACACATCATGTACAGAACCTGGGCCACCAACCTCAATCTTCTTTTGGCCTCCTCCACAATTTCCTGAACTTACCTCAGATACTAAAATCATCTAGTAGTCTACACAAGAAACATTGGCTCATGGGCTGAAAAGCTCTGCTGTAAAATCCTGCCCACTAAAGCCAGTACTGATGGTGTCAGGGCATTCTGACTATATGCAAGTTGCAGCAACTGAGCAGAGTCACCCTTTTCTTAAAGCATAAAAGTGTTCTAATAGTTCCTTGGATTTGGGCTGATTTCACGAGTGGCCATAAAGTCTTCACGTGAATTTCAGTTCTTTCATTAGAGTCTCCCCGTAAATGTGGATGACTTACTGCCTTGTTCTGGGTCATCTATTTCCAGTCTGCTCTCTAATGTTCCACCCAAAGCAGAGCTGCGTCCGACACTAATTCACAACCCTCTCTCTGGTGGACACGCATCTGTGGTAGGGCCAATTTCCAAGGAACACGGCTACAAGCAAGTTGTAGCCTGGAGGGCAACAACGACCTTCTGGCATCTTAAACAATCATCCCAGAAACCACGTCCCCAACAGTGAACCCTACACCTCGGGGGACATTAGAAATTCAAATTCTGTCTTCGGCTCAAAGCAAAAATAGCAAAACTGGCCACTTACCTGGTTACTCATCCCAGGTGCTAGGCTTATTTTCAATTCCGTTGATTCTAATTTGTTATAAAGTGCTACAAAATACCTTCATTTAACTGACATCACATAAAATTCAGGGTGATGCTAATTTCTCTTCTAGTAAGCAATGCTCATTAAAAAAGATGGGTGTCACTTTCCTCCCTTCTCCTGACTGCACCCGGATTTCTAAAATAAAAACGCTCCTTACCTGGAATGTGAGCTGAGAAGGAAGGGCTGGGTAGGGCTGGCTGTTACTTTAGAGCTCCTCAAGTATATGCTGATAACTTAATGTTTCAAGATACCCGAGTTTCCAAAAATAAAATGGGGTTTCTGAACCCTGCTTACTCAGTGGCCATCAAGTCATTTCTGATCCCTCCTGGCTTTCTCAAATAAAACTCATTCCCCTTTATTCAACATAGTTTTGGAAGTTCTAGCCACAGCCATCAAAGAAGAAAAAGAAATAAAAGGAGCCCAAATTGGGAAAGAAGAAGTAAAGCTGTCACTGTTTGCAGATGACATGATACTATACATAGAGAATCCTAAAGATGCCACCAGAAAACTACTAGGAGCTAATCAATGAATTTGGTAAAGTAGCAGGATACAAAATTAATGCACAGAAATCTCTGGCATTCTTATACACTAATGATGAAAAATCTGAAAGTGAAATTAAGAAAACACCCCCGTTTACGACTGCAACAAAAAGAATAAAATATCTAGGAATAAACCTACCTAAGGAGACAAAAGACCTGTATGCATAAAATTATAAGACACTGATGAAAGAAATTAAAGATGATACAAATAGATGGAGAGGTATACCACATTCTTGGATTGGAAGAATCAACATTGTGAAAATGACTCTACTACCCAAAGCAATCTACAGATTCAGTGCAGTCCCTATCAAACTACCACTGGCATTTTTTTTACAGAACTAGAACAAAGAATTTCACAATTTGTATGGAAAAACAAAAGACCCCGAATAGCCAAAGCAATCTTGAGAACGAAGCACGGAGCTGGAGGAATCAGGCTCCCTGACTTCAGACTATACTACAAAGTTACAGTAATCAAGACAGTATGGTACTGGCACAAAAACAGAAATATAGATCAATGGAACAGGATAGAAAGCCCAGAGATAAACCCACGCACATATGGTCACCTTGTCTTTGATAAAGGAGGCAAGAATATACAGTGGAGAAAAGACAGCCTCTTCAGTAAGTGGTGCTGGGAAAAGTGGACTGCTCCATGTAAAAGAATGAAATTAGAATGCTCCCTAACACACCATACACAAAAATAAACTCAAAATGGATTAAAGACCTAAATGTAAGGCCAGAGACTATCAAACTCTTAGAGGAAAACATAGGCAGAACACTCTACGACATAAATCACAGCAAGATCCTTTTTGACCCACCTCCTAGAGAAATGGAAAAAAAAAAAAAAACAAAAATAAACAAATGGGACCTAATGAAACTTAAAAGCTTTTGCACAGCAAAGGAAACCATAAATAAGACCAAAAGACAACCCTCAGAATGGGAGAAAATATTTGCAAATGAAGCAACTGACAAAGGATTAATCTCCAAAATTTACAAGCAGCTCATTCAGCTCAATAACAAAAGAACAAACAACATAATCCAAAAATGCGCAGAAGACCTAAATAGACATTTCTCCAAAGAAGATATACAGATTGCCAACAAACACATGAAAGAATGCTCAACATCATTAATCATTAGAGAAATGCAAATCAAAACTACAATGAGATATCATCTCACACCGGTCAGAATGGTCATCATCAAAAAATCCAGAGACAATAAATGCTGGAGAGGGCGTGGAGAAAAGGGGACACTCTTGCATTGTTGGTGGGAATGTAAATTGATTCAGCCACTATGGAGAACAGTATGGAGGTTCCTTAAAAAACTACAAATAGAACTACCATATGACCCAGCAATCCCACTACTAGGCATATACCCTGAGAAAACCAGAATTCAGAA